ACCAACATGGGACATCACATCTTATCTTCGGCTACGCAGTAAGGACCTGCCAGCACCCTCCTCCAGGTAGGCCACTGCTCGCTAATCTCCCATGGGTGTGAAGCACAGAGACCACGTCGAAGATAAACAGGTTGCTTACCTGTAACTGGTGATCTTTGAGTGGTCATCTGTGCATTCACACCACCCGCCCTCCTTCCCCGCTGCTGTCAGCTTCTACATTTTTCATAGGGGTTGATTTACGGTGGTTCGAAGGAACTGGCGGGATGTCCGCGCCCACCCCTCTGGGCATGCCCGAGGTCTGGGCATAAAAATCCGTTAAGAGCTTGCTACAATGCCGATCAATCCAACGCGTGCGCACTAGATCCCATGGGTGTGAATGCACAGATGACCACTTGAAGATCACCAGTTACAGGTAAGCAACCTGTTTTTGCCAAGTCTCTTCTACGCTTTCCATGTGGGTTCAGATCATGCATGCAAGAAATGTGGTAGAAAGTTGTAGCATATCTGTTCAGTATGAAGGGTAATTCAAGGCCAAACCATTAGTGGTGCTGGGAATCTCAACAGATCACCCAGGGCGTGTCTGATACGGATTGCAGGCTGCTGTGTCAGGGAAGGGCAGGGATAAGCATTATTTCACCAACTTTTCCACCCTGCCTTCCTCTAGCTAGCAAGGAGAGCTGTTTGTGCCTCTTTCTCCCTTCTCTACCATTACTTAAACATTGAGAGAGGGCAAGTGACAATCAGGAAAATGATGTGGGGGGAGTTAAAACCACTTCTCCAGTGCCGTGGTCCCAGTCCAGATCTGCTTTTGGAAACTCAGTTTTACACCTACAGTTCCAAAGATTGATCTTCCCAGCATCACATCTGTTTTGGCATTCAGTTTAGAGATTGGCTAACCTTGATATCATCTTTAAAAGTATCCTTGGTGGAAATACGTAGAACCCATACATTTCGTATTCTAAGGTAGCACATGAGTTAGCTGTTTCCAACTCAATCCACTGAAGCAGGAGGCTCCATTCTAAGGACAGTATGACCCACCCTTTAAGCACACCAGATACCTTCTAGAATCCCTAACTGCTGCAATTTGCAGTCAGGATTCCTAGAAAAGTCCATTTGTGCTTTATTATTAAGAGCTGCTGTCGAGTATTAGTACTTTGAGCCAGTTTGGTGTAGTGGTTAAGTGTGCGGACTCTTAATCTGGGAGAACCGGGTTTGATTCCCCACTCCTCCACTTGCACCTGCTGATGTGACCTTGGGTCAGTCACAAACTCTGGCACAGCTGTCCTTGAAAAAGAGCAGTTTGTGTCAGAGTTCTCTCAGCCCCACCCACCTCACAGGGTGTCTGTTGTGGGGAGGGGAAGGGAAAGCAGTTTGTAAGCCGCTCTGAGACACCTTTGGGTAGTGAAGGGCGGGGTATAAATCCAATCTCTTCTCTTCTTCTTCTTTGTACGTAACCCTGGGGCATGGTTTTGAGAGATCTGAAACTCCTTTGAGGCAAGTGGAAGGGGATCCCTTAGAATAAAACATCATCTTGCTAGTGACCAGAATCGCTTACATTGGTCAGTATGCTTTTGTTCCAATTACAGGAATTAACTGCTTATTAATGGCAACAATGAATAAAAACAGGACTCCCTGTAGATGCAGACTTTTATTTAGAAATCTTACAAATTTTTAAATTCTATTTTTCATGGTATTTGCAGTACCTGGGGGTGTGCAGTGAAGGGTGTTACTGATCAAAGTCACAGGTGCATTTGGATTTGTTTTTTAAAAACAAACAAACATGGCCTTGTGCTTATGAATATACAAAAGAGAAGCACATGGTTCTGTAAACAGCTCGATAGCTTTTGGGGTTTTTTGTCATTTGAATTCCTTTTTGTGTTACTGAAATAAACTCATCTCTGGAGAGGAAGCTGTATTACTGAATGTTATCAGATGCTAGATTAGTCTACACACAAGGTAAAGGAAAATAACCCTATTAGTGTCTAGTACAAAACAATGCAGTATTCATATCACCAGAATTCTTAGTAATCAAAGCCATTTGTGTTCTTTACAAGAGCTGGGACTGTGGCTCAATAGTAGAGCACCTGCTTCTCCTTCAGTGAGGGGGTGGAGTCATCCAAGCTGGTTAGATCATACCTCTGCTGGCTCAGGTAGGGCTATGCAAATTTTGTTTAGATTCCTATTGGAGGGACCGCTGGCTAACCCTCCAAGTTTGGTTAGCCCTACTGCTCAGGTAGGAGACCAGAGCTCTGCACCAAGCCAAATCTTTTAGAGCAGCTGGAGCAATAGTGTATCCCTGGGAAGATTCAAGAACTCCGAGAGCCCTTCAGCAGCCTTGGGAACGAAAAAATAAAGAATCCATGTACAACCTTGACTCCTCCGATGAGACTCCCCTAGGAACAAGCAGGTCTTCCATTCCATGGGCGGATGGCCATGTGGGCAGACCCCAACATGGTGCCAACCATGCAAGCAAACCCCAGCATGGCGAACGGTTCGGAGACAAGGTGGAAGTCTAGGAAACCTCACCTAGGCTATTCCAGACAGAGCATTTTCAACATCTCCTAAACAAGGTGATTAGCACCCTTAACTATCAGTCTGAGATGTCAGAGAAGCCTAGATCATCTGTCTCTGCTAAACTGGACAACAGGAGACAAAGTTATCCACTTCCCACCCCCCAAAAAAGAAAAAACATGAAAACAACAGCAGCCAAGATGCTGCATGGGAGAACACATGCAGCAGGGCTTGGACACGACTGGAGGGTGAGCCTGCTGTCACTCCAATAGGGGAGCTACACAAAATTTGCATAGGCCTATCCGAGTGAGCAGAGGTGTGTGACCTAACCAGTTTGGAATAACTTCACCCCACTGAAAAGAAACCTTCAGGTAAGATCCAGTTTTTCATTTGCATGCAGAAGGATCCCAGGTTCAATTCCCAGTGTATGCAGTTAAAAGAATCAAGTAGTGGGCAATATCAAACACACTCTACCAGAAACTCTAGACAGCCACTGCTAACCAGAATAGAGGCAGTATTGAGCTTGACCAATAGTCTGACTCCAGTATAAGGCAGCTTCATGTGTTAATACCTAAGCTAGAAAGGTTTTGCTAAAAAAATGTCTTTCCACTGCAACTATCATGACAAACTGTGTGCAAATATGCCTTAGAGAACTTAATACTGCTGGGGGGCGGGCTGAAATTTTCTACATCTAATTTTCCTTACTATTCCTTTGTCCTACATTTTAAGGTAGCATTAAATCCTTAATACTTTTCACTTGTTGGTGTAATTTATTTAAATCTATAGTCCAACCTTCTCTGATTTTTGATAGCTGAGGTACACTTTGTACCAGAGGAGTCCACCCTGTAGTTCATTATGACTCCTCCTGAGGTTAGGTGACGCTGTGTTTCTGTTGCTGGATCCATTTGCAGCAGAGATATTTTTCCTCAGCATGTATGGCTGTATGGAATCTAGGCTAGAACACTGCGCTTCCCTCCATCTCTCGCCCCTTAACAATTCAATGAGATAAGGGGACCTACGACCCAGCCCTCTCAGTCACACAGTATAAGCTCTGTGGTTAAAAACAACTTGAAGTTGTCTCCCCAGCCTAAAGCCAGCACTAAATCTGTGCCACACTGGCCAACTCAACGGAAAACCTTTTTTTTTTTAATGAATGAGTACTTCAGGCTCAGAGAGCCTTTGTTTTTCTCTCCGTAACTTAGTAGCTTCCTCACAGCACCCAAGGTATTGTTAAGTTATAATTAGTAAAGCCAAACGTTTGCTATATTCTAGGTAGTACTTAGTGATCTCATCCTTAACACAATAAACAGAAATTTGTGGTAAGTATCCTACTTGGGGGGGGGGGGCAGAGGTCATTTTGGGGGGAAACGCCCCCCGGGTGAGGTGCAGGGGGCGGGGCACATGCCGAAGCCCCGCCCCCTGCTTCCGGCCGCCCCGCTTCCAGCCCTCATTCAGCCAGGAGGAGGCAGGAAAAGAGGGAGGGTAAGTTGCTTCCTCCCCGCCTCTCCCCACCCCTGCCTGCCTGGGGCCAGGGAGGGCCTTGGCAGGGCTTCCTCGCACTCCCACTGGCCTTGCAGGTCCACCGCCGGGCCCCTGATGTCAGGGAGTGTGGCATATGCTAATGAGTTCCCCTAGCTCTTTTTCTACGAAATGACCCCTTTATACAGGTCATCTTCTATAGCCAGCACTCCTCTGGTATTGTCAAGGTTGGCCTTTTCATTTTATTTTCAGGACAAGTGAAAAGAATAGTCACTCTTCATCAACTGTATTTTGGGCATGAAGTGAGGGGCTTTGATCCCTGGTCTCCTTCCTGCTGTACCGAATGCGTGCAACATTGCTTGAATCATATGACTGTAAAGGAGAGACACTGGCTTTTCTTCTTTCTGCTTCCATACCCAAAGGCTGCTGATCCTTCTCCCTAATCTGTGTGTTAGAAAAGCGATGCCCATGTCCACTGCCAGCAACTGGAAAGTCGCCAGCCGAGCCTTTGATTCGGTCTTCAGAGGCCCCCTGCATGATACATGTACCAGAATCTTAACGGGCCTGCCTTTAAACTTCCTTACACTGAGATGCCTTTTCAGAACTTAAGCTCCAAGGGTATATTTATTACACTTTTTAAAAAAGGTAAGCATGAGAAATAAAAAGCACTACATGTATCCCGTTCCTTTCTTATCGGCTGGCTGGAAACAAGATAGTAAGAATAGCTTATCCTAATTATATTTTAGACTAATGGAGAATCCTAGTACTTTTAAAGAAAATACATCAAGATTAACCAAACCTAAAAGGTTGATACTGATGTGTAAGCTAGTATTGTATATTTAAAAACAATCATGCAAAATATACTTCATATAATTTAAGTTAGCCAGGCACAACAGCCCCTCAGATAAAGAAAAAGTATGTCCGTTTACGTGTTTGATTTTAAATCGCTTTGCACGAAAATTCCCTTTATGCCTTCAGCAATAGTTCTAACTGGCTGCTCTTTAAAAAAAAAAAAAAAGTGTCTTGTTAAACTGATGCAAAAGGCTACGCATAACTTATTTCTGCTTATAACGAAGTTTGATCTGAAACAGTATTTTCTGTGCTTTTTGTAAGAACCTCTTACGTATCTGTGAAAGACATGGAACTGCTGGGGGGGGGGGGCAGCAGCCAAACCTTCCATTCCCCATCAAAAACAAATAGTAGATCACAATTGGTCTCCATTCTTTAGTCAGAGCCTGGAATATTTACACATTCACTAATACCAACATTGTTATCTGCCCTCTTTGTTGATCAGTGTAGTGTTCAAAACAGCCTCACCATGCAAGTCAATTTAACACAGAAAACATTGAGCATTAAATTAATACAATGATTGTATTTAAGAGATTCCCGATGAGGCTTTTTGAAGGGGGAAACCCTCAGCAATTCCCCAAAACAGGAATATACAACTCCGTGTGGCACTGTTACCTTCACTAAAATACTGTAATACCTTTGATTACCTTCTCCGATAGCAACAGTGTGTGAGATGGTCACGCGAATGTCCGCCTCTTGATACAGGATTCATACTGTCAACGACTGTGTGCCACTGTCTTCTGAAGATAACTTCATTTCCTTGCTTAGTTCAAATACTAAAATCAAACATTTTTCTCCAATGTGGTGATGCAGGAGGAAAAAATGGAGAATGTCCAAGAGATAGTCACTGGCACTGAAGTGACAGATTCAGAAATCCGACATGACGCTCATCAGCTAGTTCGGAACAACAGCATCGAGGCTTCCTTGGATATCATCTGATGCCATTTCTTTTTACTACAATTGTCCCTGCTACAATATCATAGGCTGTTCGATTATGTTGAAAGAACAGCAGGGTAATGAATGCAGGAAAAAAGGAAGCGATAGAAAAGTTCTTGATCAAAGCACGTATTGTAGATCTGGAAGACAGAAAAAAAAGAGTATCACTACAGTCTGCATGGACAGGAGTAATTCTGACACACTGTGACTGTCAAAACATAATATGAGCGAGGAGCACAAGCGTGCCCCTGAGTTCAAAAGCACATGTGAACCCTCAGAAATGGGCATTTTTAATAGTATTTCATAATCAAGGTTATCAATAGTTTAAAGTATCTAAGTGTTATATATCTATACTAGAAATAATGCTCGTTGTGGAAATAAATACAACGGGATCTAGAAAGAGGCTCTGGGAGAGTGCTCTGGCTTTGGGCAAACAGTGTCAGTTTCCTGTGGCGACCTCAGCAGGGTTTAATGACAGAGTCCACTGTTTTCTCCAGAGGGACTGATCTCTGCTACCTGAAGAGCATTTGTATGTTTGAGTTATCTGTAGCCCTCACCTGGAGAGTGGTAACCATTGTTACCCATTCTCCTCTCCCCTATGAGGTATGTTATGCAACTGAAAATCACAACTGCCTTGCGGGGGGGGGGGAGTTTGAGGTGTGGAATGGACTGAAGTCCAATCAGCTTCCATATGCAAAAGACCAGGTTGTCACAGCAGTTGTGGTGTGGGCGGGACCCGGGCTTTGCCTTCTGATTGGTGGCGATATATGCTGAGGAGCAGTACCATCAGCCATACACTAAGGGAGTGCATTTTAGAATTAGAACTTTGGCACCCACTATTCAGTTATATATAAGGAGAGATTTATATTTCACAGCAGTTTTACGCTGTGTAACTTCCATATTTTACTTTTATCATTTTACACAAAGCACTGCTTTCGGAAAGAATACGGTACACTTAATTGCTACGTTGGATGGAAACATTATCCCACAAATTCTCAGTATTGCATGTCTTATTCAGGATGAGAAGACCACTCTGGCCAGCTGTGAAGATACTACTTTTTATACAAGCCTTGGTCCTCATGTTTAGTATCACAGCCATCTTAAAGGTTTTAATAATCAACACTACTGACTTTATTGTTGGGCAGCAGCCACGTTGAAGTTTTAAGAAGAGCTCAAGGTGAGACAGAAGTGTAATGACCAAGGAATTCAGGGCAGGGTATATATAGTAGGGCCCCCTAAAGTGGTGTCTACCAAAGCTTCAGAATGGCCACACGAGAGCCATTATATATTGGATTTGTATCCCGTCCTCCCCTTAACGGGCTCAGGGTGGGTTCCAACAATATAAATATAGGACAATGATATCAATACAGTACAATTAAAACCATGTTAAAACATATAAAACATACAACTCTTATAAAAAGCCAATTGCCTCAGTGGCTGATAGTGCTGGGAATAAATTTCTCAGAACTGTGTACAGTTGAGGATCTCAGACCCAGGCCATAAAAATAGGGGCCGACCCGAGCTGTAAATAGGGCCGACCCAAGGAGGAATGGGGACGCCCGCTGCCTCAACCGAAAGCTCGGTGGAAGAGCTCCGTCTTGCAGGCCCTGCGCAATTGTAATGAATCCCGCAGGGAGCTCATTTACCAGGCAGGGGCCAGGGTTTCAGTGGCAGGTGCCAACACAGTGTTGGTTTTATTCTCTCTCACTCCTCTTTTCTTTGTGTATTTTTTAAATTATTCCCCTTTTCCCTTATGCTTCAGCGCCCTCTGTTTTTGCGTCCCTGCCTCCTGCAGCAGCCATTTTGTGGTTGTGCCCACCACCCTGTGTCAGAATTCCAAAGGTGCCCGTGGGCTCAAGAAGGGTGGTGACCAGTGTTCCCGCTAAGCTGAGTTAGTGTGAGCTAGCTCACAAGGTTTTTTTGTTTCCATCTCACAGATTTTTGTCTTGGCTCCGGAAGGAGGGCTCCAGAGCAAACTAATTTATGCAGTAGCCAAATCGCTTGCTCACAACTTTAATGCCAGTAGCACACAAAGTAGAATTTTTGCTCACAAGACTCCACAGCTTAGAGGGAGCATTGGTGGTGACTCCTGCTATACAGAATGGGATTGCAGAATGGAGTATGGAAGTATCTTTGCTGATAACCAGAAGCAACCACAAAGCCATATGGAAGTAAAAATACTGATACTAGGGACACCTCTTACTAGGTGTTGGTATACAGCTTAAGAGCATTCCTAAGACCAGAGCAGATTTCAGCCTCCTGAACAGAACACTGTCCATTCAGAACTTGAGAAGGCAGTTATGCAAGTCCCGCTCTCGGTACTACAATGCGTTCCCTTCAGAAACTTTCATTATCAGAAGACTCAGAGCAGTAATGCAAAGATATGAAAGTGATTTACTTTCTTCCTTGGGAAAATATGTTCCCCTACCCCAAAGGGAATATTATTATGAGGTATCCAGTTAAATGTAGTACCTCTACCAAAATGTAATAACAATCCAGGGCTCTATGTGTCACCGTTAGCTGGTACTTCCCACAGAAAACATGCATCACTTTACCCAACACTACAACAATTTTATAATTCGAGTGAGCTCCTGTCTAGTACAGGGGTGTCAAACCTACAGCCCACAGGCCAGAACTGGCCCACCCAGGGCTTTAATTCGGCCCATGAGTCGGGCTTTCTCCCCCCACCACCACTTGTACTTGCCCTCCTGAGCTTGAGCTGCTCCTGAGTGCAAGGAGCAGAGGGCGGGGCTACCTCTGAGAGCAGAGGGCGGGGCTGCCAAACTTCTCAGCTCCCTCAAGGCCTTCCAGAGTGTCCCTCTCTGCCTCCCGGCCACCGCTCCCAGCTTCCGTCGTCCTTCCCACAGGTAGAGGCCGAGGGGCATCCTCCTGCTGTAGTCCCTTGGTCTTCTACTTAATGTTTTATTTTTGAAACTGTGTTGCCAAATCCCACTTTTCCCACCACCTCTCCATTTCAGATTCAGACAGGCATCTTTTAAGGGGGGGGGGGGTTTGGACCAGTGTTCCCTCTAAGCTGAGTTAGTGTGAGCTAGCTCACAGCTTTTTACCCTCCGGCTCACACATTTTTGCCTTAGCTCAGGAAGGATGGCTCCAGAGCACGCTAATTTATGCAGGAGCCAAATCGCTCGCTCACAACTTTAATGCCGGGAGCTCACCAAGTAGAATTTTTGCTCACAGGACTCCACAGCTTAGAGGGAACCTTGTTTGGGACCAACCACAGTTAAAATATAGAGTTCTACAAACTCAAGGAACTCCAGTTTTGCAGAGAAATATTAGTTTTAATACACACACACCCTCCTAATGTGGGGCTCCAACGGAATATCTCCACTGTCTGGCATTACATTTTATGGCCCAGCCCGACAAAGTCCATTTATGTCACATCCGGCCCTCCTAACAAATGAGTTTGACACCCCTGATCTAGTATTTCCACTACAGTGATACTTACGTTGTCATGCTGACATTAGAGGATGGAATCACTAGCACACGACTTGGTGCAATGAGAACAGATGTGTCGCACGTCACAACTCTCAGCCCAAGTAAAAATTTCCCCGGGGTTGCCCCACCAGCTCCCCAAATACAAATAATCTGAAAGGAGGAAAAAAGCCATTTTACAGTTTAACACCAATGAACATATATATATATTTGGCTTTGTGACACATTCAAATATAAATGCTGTACCCCAGAGTTATTTTGTTGCGATCAGCTAGCAGCCATATTACAACTCACAAAATCAGCATCAAGCATGTGATGCAAGAACCTTACTAAAGCTGCTCCCTGCCCCTGTGCACTCATCTTGTTTGCTTCTATCTACTTAGCTGCATCCTGGCCTATGCTTACTGGTTGCCCCAAAGAGTCACTGCAGTATAGTGGTTAGTGGCTGAATCCCCACTCCACCATGGAAGCTAACTGGGTGACCTTTGGTCAATCACTCATTCTCTCAGCCTAGCATACTTCAGACAGGGTGACTATTCTGAGGATAAAACAGAAACATGCTTTTTGTAAGTTCCTTTGGGTCCCCCTTGGGGAGAAAAGCAGGGTACAAACATTGAAACAAACAAAAAAAATCTTGGCGCCTGGCTTGAATGAATGCCTTTCTCAAGTGAAAATAACATGCTTTAAAACAAGCCACTATTCAGTTTCAACGTAACACAAGCGATCTTATAGAATGCATGTCCTACTGACTGCATTGTTAGTTAAGGCATAGTTAGATACCTCGTAGAAGCAGACGAGCAGCCTATAGACAAGAGCCACTACCATCATCTTCTGCAAGTCTTCCATAGAGGTTTCTTCATCTATTTCCTCTATGATGTAATGCATTGCAAACTTTGAGATATCTCTGCACAGAAAACTTCATTTTAATATGCAAAAATATTCCACAGAACTCTTAACAGCTATTCTAGAACAACATGGATTTCTTTAGTCAGCAGACTATCCCTGTCCAAAAAAGGGAGCATTCAGCTGATGCCAATGTTTTTACTTTAGGTACACAAAATCCACTAGTGGAATAAAAACATTAAATTATATTCAGATTTTTACATCCGTCATAATCAGATGAACTAGACACTGCTACAGGATTTGAAACCTGTAATCAATTAAAGGGTGTAACATGCACACCATTTCACATTTAAAAGTTCCCCTCTTCCATGAAAAAAGCTTCCTGCAAAATCACAAGAGCTGGTAGAGCATACAGATCCTTGGTTCTAATCTTACTTCCACTGGAAAGTCTCCTTGCGATGCAGCCCTCTTAGTCCTAGCCCTAGGATTAGATTTGCTGTAAAGTTTTTAAACAAAATTATTTGAACACCCTACATGCTGAACTGCAGGCTGTGGAAGGTTGGTAGTTCAGCAGTTCGAGACCCGAGTGTGCCGCATGACGGAGTGAGCTCCCATCTCCAACTCCTGCCAACCTAGCAGTTCGAAAGCAAGAAATTGCAAGTAGATAAATAGGTACCACTTCAGTGGAAAGGTAACAGCGTTCCGTGCGCCTTGGTGTTTAGTCATGCTGGCCACATGACCACGGAAACGTCTTCGGACAGCGCTGGCTCTTCGGCTTTGAAACGGAGATGAGCACCGCAACCCTAGAGTCGGATTTGACTGGCTTTCAAGCAAGGGAACCTTTACCTTTACCTGTACTACTATTGGTATTACAAAA